TTTCCTAAAGTTTTCCATGTGAGCGATGAAATGATGCATAAATGATTCAAATATAAAAACAAGACCTATGACAGATTTTAATTAAATGGTTCCAAAATATAAATTACTGTATTTTCCGCCGTAAACGTCGCATCAGTCCAAATATGTCTAATAAAGTTTAAAAATCCATAAATACATCACTTCGCCGTACACGTCACATCTATTACGCGTCACCGCTGACAACCTGGAAATGTGTCGTGCCAAATATCGACTGGCTGCCAAATGGCCGCTGAGGAAGCGTGCACGTGAGGATTTTAACAAGAATTTAACAAGATTAACACTTAAAAACAATTATATGTTTGCTCGACATTATAGTAAAAAGTGTCTCAGTCTAACTTTTGCTTAATAAATTCACTTTGACGGTCAAATCAGCTGCGTTTTCAAAAACCAATACGCAGAATCATGAATGCGCAGAGGGCGACTCGCTGCCCATTTCTTCTAAATTTACCAACGTAACCACCTAAAAACAATTATTTGTTTGCTCGACTTCATAGTAAAGGTGTGTCTCAGTTGAACTTTTACTTAAAAATGTACTTTAATGGTCAAATCAGCTGCATTTTGTTGGGGCGGCGCAGTGAAATGAAGCTGATTCGATGGTCGCTCCAGGCAGACGACAGTAGCAGGATATGGCAAGCCGATTGTGTCATTAATAGCCACTTTTACCTTTTTCATGTTACAACGGCATGCCATACTTCTTGACTGCCATCTAGTGGCTGAAAATGGTAGTGTTCAATGTTTTCAGTCAGATTGAATGAAAACGATCTTATGTCAGCCAAAAATTGGTTTATAAATATGGAGAAAAACGGCGTATAAGTCACATGGCATGCAAATTAGGCAAAAACTGCGACTTATAGGCCGAAAAATACGGTACATAAAAACTAAAGCACAAACCAACGTGACTAAACAAATCCAAAACATTCTATTAACGTATAAATAATGATAAAAAAATATATTGTTTCTCAGTAATATTAGTATTTTATACGTTTTTGCTCTCAAGCAGACGCAATTGCTGTGAAACAAATCCAACAAACCGTTAGAAAGTTTGAAGGGAAATCCATAAGATTTACAGCTTTAGTAAACAGAAGCAAATAAAGACTTAAATTTGATTTTCCCCACCCACACCCCCACCCAGGCAGGTGAGGTTAAAAGGATCACAAAAGTGTCGACAGCCCCGAACAACAGACTACAGAGTCAGTTCTGACAAACAGCTAAAACACTCTCTTAGTTTGGGTGATTAATGATTGAGAACAGGTGAGTCTGAGGAGCAGAACAGGTGAGTCTGAGGAGGGTGGAGTCCTTCAGAGTCTCATCTCCACGAGCCTCCTTCAGGGAGAAACGTGTCTCAACAGATGGAGTTAAATTCTGGGCCGAGCCACGAAGCGCCGTGTCTTTAAAGTCTTCAGAGCCGCAGATGAAAGATGCTGGATCCGTTGTTGATGCGGATCTTGTTCAGAAGAAACTGTTGACAGAGCAGAGCTCCCTTGAGGGTTTAATCCGAGCAGGGCCGCCTTCAAGGTGACGTTGAGGAGCTGTGTGAGCTGGAGCCACTCCTGAGTGATATTTTTCACACTCAGCTGGGTCATCACAGGGTCAGCGCTCAGAGGCGCACACAGATTACATTTAAACAACATTTGAGGGTTTACTGCAAATAAACGGGCTCTAACGGTTTTAATCTGCTGTGAAGTGAGCAACAGATCCTGCGTCAGTCAGAACCATACCAAGACCGTCGGTCCGATTTAAGATGTGGGAGCCGATTTCTGAAGGAGCCTAAAAACGGAGACGTTCACGAAACGCTCTGAGGGAACGACCTCGGGAGGAGAGTGAAGCGAGTCGAGGAAGAGGACGGTGGAGAGTGAGCAGGCAGGTAAGTAAGAAGGCCGAGGTTCACGGCAGACAGGAGGATTGGGTCTCTGCTCCGACGTTTCAACAGTAGAAGCTTCAAAAGGAGCAGTCGCAACGAGATCACAGAATAAACGTCAACTCTGGGAACGGACTCGAAATCATGAGAAAACAAGCGATCGAGATCAGCGAAGTCTGGAGAAACCTCGGCCTTTACAGCGGTGCTGGAGTCGGAGAGGCAAACCACTGATCCCAGCACTGCAGCACCTGCTCACAGCTCCACCTGCAGAAAGAGACGACTAGAAAAACAACTGGAGAAAAGAGGGGATGAAGTAACAACCACACATTTTTGTCACGCTATTTATGAAACATTGATGCTGAATAATAGATTAATTAAAAAATAACGTTTAAACTAATTCATTGGTACTTTATCCTCCATATTTGGAATAAAACGCAAAGAGGAAGTTCGAGCTGGAGAATAATTTTACTTGATTCCACATTCATGGTTGACATGTTTATTCATTATTCTTGTTCTCCGCTGCAGAACTGATGGTACGTAACGGTTATCAAAGAGTTTCCATCATTTTGAGGCAGATTTACCTGCATCCAGGTGGATGCAGCTGATCTGTTGGTCCTGTGAGATTTACTCGTGGTGGTCTAACCATCCTGCAGCTGGTTTTGACCACAGTTTGGACAAATACGCTTTTATTCCTGGAATAAACTGGAATAGCTTTTACCAAACCAATAGAGCTGAATTGGAGCCGCCATTCATTTTTTATTACCATTTCATCATCAGGACCGTGATGATTTCTGTACGGTTGTTTTAACGTCTCAATGTCTTGACCAGTATAGACGTTTTGTGCCCACTGACTGTGAAACAAATTGCCTCTCGGGGATAATAAATATTTTTGAACTTCAAAACAAACTGATCAAAATCTGATGCACAGAAACGAGGCTTTAGCTCCATTTTTAATTAAATGTAAAAATTGGTCACAACGTTTGACCTGTAAGCAAATTTTGTTTATTTCATTCCAAGAACTATAACTTGAACGACCAGAACTGACCAAGCGGCCAATCAGAGCCCAGAGATCAGGCTGTGGGATGTTTGGATGGCAAAGAAAAGGCCAAAGCTCATGGTATATTTTATTATCTCCCGTTTCCAGTTCAACCAGTTTCCTCTCATCTTGCCCATGAAGCAACCTGTCCTCACTGGTCACTTGATTGGTTCCTCAGCCACAGGAGGGACGGTTTGGGATCAAAGTGTCCTACAGGAGAGGATCGATCCCTCACATGGCCAATAATCACCCGTCGATTAGAATGAAGAGGGCAGAGTGGGTGAGGCCAGGGAGGCTGTAGGAGACAGACAGGCAGTGAGTCTGTGTTGGACCCTGGTCAGAACCTGCACAGCCCCCTCCAGTCTCACCCTCCCCCTGTTTGTCATCATCTCCTAAAACCATGTTGGTGTTTCTCCCCCAGCCGCTCCCTGACACTCATTTGTTCCTCTCTGGCGCCCTCTAGCGGTAAAACTGGGGCAGAGCATCTAAACCAGATCCTATTTAAACCCGGCGCCCTCTAGTGGCTGTCTGCAGTAACACGATCTAAATCCAAAGAAATTATTGAAAATTAAAAATACATTTCATAACACTTAAGTTATTACATTTACTTTCCATATGTTGACTTCTTTTAACTCTCAGCCCATATTTATTTGCAATTAGTACTTGAAAGGTGGTTGATCATGTAACAATTGCTTAACTGTTAAAGTAAACCCTTCTCGTCTGTTAGCAAAATATCTCACAAAGTAGTGGATAGATTTCTGAATAGCTTATTAAGTCAAGTGATTCAAGATGGCTGCTACAGCCAACCGAACTTGGGGCACAGAAAATGGGCTGTAAATCAGCCATTGTTGCAGACACTCAGCTGAACTTGGCTGTGGTAGTAGCTGAGAGTCATTTACGATCACAGCGTGCTCTTCATGCACTTACAGATTACGTGTGAGTTCACATTTCTCCATAGATTACGAATAACATAAATTTTCAACAGCTATAACTCAACATGAGACGATTTTTGTTCAAAACTCTGGCCTGAAAGGTGGAGGGGGGCGGGGCTTGAACTTCTTCCAGTTTCACCTCCAACGACATCATAAACAGTTATGAACTCACAATTTGACCCCATGATCCCTTTAACAACACGACAAGCAGGAGTAAACAACAACAACAAGTAGTTGTCTTTTTATTTTGTACAGTCAGTAAAGATCAACCCGGTGTGTTTTACCCAAACAACACTTATAATTTATGACTTATGATAATAATATAATAACTTATGATGGTTATAAACAAAATGTGAAAAACAAACAAACATTTCTTTAAAAGGTGAGTTTTACTGAACTCTAACTCAAACTTAAACAATAAAGGAAGATAATTTTAATAAAAAAGGAACTCAAACCCTGTCTCAAACAAAGTTATACATGTTACAAAGATAAGTTACATTAATGTTTATATTGATTTAAAAAAGTCATATTTTGTATCTGAGCAGACTGAATGCTTATGGAGAAGAAAAAGGAAATAAAAGGAGGAATAATCCAACATAAGTTTGTACAAATGTTACTCTTACAGTAATACTTTTATTTTTATATCTTATATTTTATTTCTGGCTAAACATCTGTACACACACGTCAGCAATGAGTGAAAAATATAAAATATTCTGATAGTAATGAAACTAAAAGTCTGGATTCTTGAGGTCTGGGTTGTTGCAGATGATGAAAAACACTTATCATCCACCTGTCAGAGCTACAGAAGCTTCTGGATTTAATCCTAATATGAATCTTTTCTTCCATATATGAGTGGAAGCGCTCTGATTAGTCTGTGGACAGTGTGGACGTTTTAACTTACAAACAATAAAATGTGCATGAAACCCATAAAGTCAGCAGGTTTGCTGTAAAGAGCTACCCAACATGGAAGCCAGTGCAGAAAATATTTCTAACGTCAGTGCATCATAGCTGCATACACGCTAACGAGTATCATGGATACATACCTGGGTTTACAAAAACAAACATTCTTGTAAAACTTGTTTTCCAACACATTCTGAATGTCTTTTTGTTGACGCTTCATCCGGTTCGCCAGGAGTTTCCTCCGCTCTGCTTCACCACGGGTCCGACTCCACCCAGACGATCTTCCGCTGCTCCTCCCAGATGACGGTTCTCAGGCTGGTCAGCAGGGACGTCTGGTCGCACCAGGAGTCCGGAGCGACGCTGCGGTACAAACACGGCAGCTTGTCCAGCAGCGGCTCCTCTCTCCTCGAACACGCCAGCAGCTGCTCCTCCGAGCGGCTGTCCCGCTGCAGTTTGGACCTGCAACAGGGAGGACGACGGACACTGTGAGGACCCATGGGTGAAGCCACTGCATTGTTCAAGCCAAGAGCCACTGCCAGCACTGGGGGGTGGGGGTGGTTAGAGTTGCATTTGGGCCTAAAAAAAATCTGACCCGACCCCATAGGCATTTTTTCAGAGCCCGACCCGACTGATTAACTGTAATTAGGGCCCGAACCCCCTCAAAAAACAACTTTTTTTTTTTTAAAGCTTTTCCTGCTTTTGTAATCAAATCAGTTTGACATGATAGTTTTAAAAACGTATTTCAAAGAAAGGAAGATATAAGATTTCTTGTTTATTAACAAGTCACCAAATGAATATTAACATACAAAATGAAAAGCCTAAAATAAAATCAACTCTAAAGAACGGCTGTTATACAGATGAACAAAAATATTTTTAGATCAAAATTATTTGGGAAAATATAAAACAAGGTTATTGTAACTGAACGCGCTGCTCGCTTCGGCTTTTGTAGCTTTAGGTGCTGCGACTTCCTTCACTGCAGATGACAGCAAGCACGGCCGATGATCCGGTGATCCATCTGAAGCTTAACGGGACTTTTTTTTAAACTTCTTTCAAACGGACAGTCATACCTGAGCGTGCACCTGACACACATCAGCAGGTTTCACTGTGCTGGCTTTGTAGAGCGAGTTCTCTTGATTTTAGCTTTTGTTTAATATTTTCCAGCTCCATAATGTCGCTTGTTGTGGGTCAATTGCGAATCCTCAGATGTGTGAGGAGCAAAGAGTGGGCGGGGCCACATGCACAATTAAAAATGCATCAGAAGCCCAAGACTGACCCGGCCCGCCCATCAAGCACATAATTTTGGCCTGACAAGTTTTTGACCTGACCCAAATTTCGGGTCGGGTCAGGCACCGGCTCGGGCCAGAAATCGCAACTCTACTGGGGTGGGGGGGGGTGGAGCACCCCTAAAGGCCAGAGTCTAGAATTGCCCCACAGCTTCAGTTCTCTTGAACAACAGGGAGCTGTCAAAAGGGGGAGGTGTTGGTTTTAATCATTCTTGCTTGAAATTAAATTCAGACGGTCGACGCTGAGAGGGGACAGACAGTTAATGCTAAAGATGTGGCTCAGCGTTTAGTGCTCGGGGTATATGTGGAGGAGGACTTCCAGCTACTACCACACCAAAGTGTACCTCAGTATCAGCAGAAGAAAAGTATGAAGATAATGAGTCTCGTGCACAAACCACCTGCTGTGGACGCGTAAATCAACAAAAGAATATGACGTTTAAAACTTTCTCCTGCTCCAGATTCACAAAAGGAATGTTGCGTTCAAGGCTGCTGAAAAGCTGGGACATCTGAGAATTACCAGAGTTACTGAGATTTGGGGAAAAGACATTTCCAACGTGGCACTGTAGCTCATAACTCCTACATTAAAGCACGTTCACTACACTGGTAGATCCCAAAAATATTAGTTTTGTGCTCTGTACGGTTGAAATAAACAACTTATAATGAGTGCGTTATTGTTCACGTGGAATATTTATCAGGAAAAATACATTTTCCCAACAAAAGAATAATTTTTGGAAATATACAATTTATTCTTCTGCTTCCTGATAATTACAATATTATGAAATATTATTTCCTGCATACTTCATCATTCCTGGTTTGACTCGGTGATCTGACTGTTGTTCCTGTGTTCTACAACAGAACCCATTTTACATGTTTATTTCAGCTGTACAGTCCAAAAGAATTACATTTGCTTATTGTTTATTGTTCTGTTTTCTTTTATATTATTTTGCAGGAAGAAGAAAATACAAGAAAATATATTTTTCCAGCTGCAGAGGAAGAATGTAATCAAATGTACAGTCCACACAAAAAATACCAGAAATGATAAAAAAGTCTCAAAAATCAAATTCACAGGCGCTTGTGTTGACTGACTCGTGCACAGCAGGTCATTTGTGCACGTGTATTTGACTGTACGTGCAGAATATTTCTGTACAAATTGAAGTGTGTACATTTAGTGTTTGTGAATCTCGTTCACCTCAGTTTGCGTGCGCTGCGTGCACTCTGGCTGACGAAGATGATGATGGGGAAGATCTCGAAGCGCTGCAGCCGACGCACGCAGTCCAGGCCCAGAGGCAGAACGCAGTGAATACCCTGTAAAGGTCATAAATCAGCGTGAGCAGAGCGGTTCTGATCAGACGGATCAAAGTCGAGCCTGAGAACCGATCCGAAAAAAATCTGCAGTTTCTAAAACTTTTAGTTGGTTTTGGTCTAAAGTTTAGAGACAGAGTTAAATAAAATGGATGTGATCGCCACGTAAATATAAATAACTTGTTTTTAGACACACACACACACACACACACACAATTAATGTGTAGTGAGTGAGATGGAGGAGGATGACTCGCTGCAGCGACCCCTGAAGAAGAAAGAGCCAGAAGAAGAAGAAGAACAGAAGAAAAAGAATAACAAAAACAAGAACAACAAGAAAAAGAACAACAACAACAAGAAGTAGAAGTAAAAAGAAGAAGAATGACAAGAAGTAGAAGAAGAAGAACAAGAAGTAGAAGTATAACAACAACAAAAAGAAGTAGAAGAACAACAAGAACAAAAGAACAAAAACAAGAACAAGAAGAAAAAGAAGAACAAGAACAAGAAGAACAAGAACAAGAAGAACAACAAGAACAAAAAAGAACAAGAATAACAATGAGAAGAAAAACAAGAACAAGAAAAAGAAGTACAAGAACAAGAAGTAGTAGAAAAAGAACAAGAAGAAGAAGATACACAATTAACCCTCCTGCTGCCCTTGGGTCAAGATTCCCCCTGTAGGTCATGTTGACCCAAGGGCAGCAGGAGGGTTAATAATCCTGTTTGTTTGTCAGTACGTTGCTTTAAATGACACTGTTCAGTTTGAAGGCTCTCCAGACAGACTGGGTGCTCTGACCTTCTTCATGACCTTCTCCACGTTCTGCAGGGAGTAGCAGCAGTTCTCCGCCTGCTCACACTCCTCCAGGATCTCGGACCTTTGGAGCCGGGCTGCGTGCTCGCTGGAGCTCAGAGTCTCTGCAGAGAAGGACGGAGGAAACGTTGCCCTCGTGCTCATTTTCAGACTGTTTGATAACGTTCTTGTCCTCTGCTGCCGTAATGATCAAACTTTCCCTCAAAGACAAACAATGTTTATTTTGACCTCACTGCGTGGAACACGAGCACACGTTTACAGCCTCTGCTGTAATTTTTATAAATATTTGTTTGCACTACTTATTTCCTTCCTGGTTTACAGCAACATAACCATAAAACATTTATAGATGCACACTCAGGCTGTCTGTTTACTGAGGGAGAAAAAACACTATCGTGTCAGCATCAAGTCGGAAACAGCGGAAAGAGACGCGACGTCAGGCTCACCAGTAAAACATCACATAAGAAGGAGCATTTAAAAAGTTTCCTCATCACTTCAATAAAATAAGAGCATCAGCAGAGGACGATGAAGACGAGCGTCTTACCGGGCTCGCAGAGCTCGAAGCCCTGCCAGCTGGCTAACTTCTTGTCCAGGACGCGTCCCAGGATGGTGGGCAGCAGCAGGACCGGCCTGCACACAGGAGGGAAGTGGGGGGTCACCAGGGTGTAGGGCATGAGGGTCACGCAGCATTTGGATGAAGACGGAGAACCTACAAGGGGGGTGAAGAGACGAGGGTTTATTTTTGAAAACGAGGATCCTATAGCAGCTGAACTGAGCAGAAAGGCAGAATATTCTCCTTCGGGGCGGAGGCTGCACCTGACACTGAGCTCGTCGTGCTTTCTTTCTCCACGCTGACCCACAGGGGGTTCCTGCCCTGACGCCACGTGCTCACGACCCTCACTGCCTTCTGCTGACCCCGGGGCACCACTTGTCCATCCTGGAGAAGGAAACGCATCAATTACAGCACAAACGTTTCAGATCTAGAGTCTGAGATGGAATCTTTAGGATTCTTTTTTTTTTACCTTTTTATACTTCTTTATCTGAAAATTCAAATCTTCAATTGTTCGTATTAACAGTCGCTGTGCCCTGTGATTAAAAATAGTTCACGTCAGTAACGATGTAAAGTCTGGAAGGTTCACGCTCGCAGCGGCACCGACCTGTAATAGTTGGGCACGGTTCCACTCTGCAGGTCCAGCAGCTGACAGGGGTGGACCTGGCTGGCGTACCACAGATCCTCGGCGTCGGTGGGTCGTGTGTTTGTAACGTGGAGGATGTCGTTGCACGACACGGCCAAAGTTCCTCCGGTACCAGCAGCGAGGGACGTGTTGACCCGGATGTAGAAGGAGTCTCCTGATGAGGTGGTGTTGGTCTGCAGCTGCTGCAGCAGCGCCTCGTAGTCTGAACGGGACGAGAAGGACATCAGTTCAATAATTCAGTCAACCTTTATTTATAAAGGTTAGTCTCATTGAGCCTCCAGGACTAATAATATTAATATGTTATGTTCAGGCTGTGCTCAGTTGCCTCACAACCTTTTATTTAATATAGTTTATCTTTTGCTTTTCAATGACTATAGATAACTCACATCAAACACTGTTATGGTAATATTTCCTTCTTATTCAAACTCATTAACCTCCTAAGAGCTGAACTCTTGCATGACGTGCATTAATTCCTATAATGTCCACATATGTGGATGTCAGGAGGTTAAAGGTAAACCAGCTCTGCTAACATTTAAACAAAATGGTTCAAACACAGGTGATGTGCAGAAACACGCCGAAGCCTTGAGCTCTTCTTGGTTAAAATCAGTCTAAAGAGGAAGAAACGGACGCTTCATTAAATCAACTGCTCCGAAGGTGCTTTCCCCTTTTTAAAATGATTTCCTGGGAGGATTTTATAGAATCTAACATCTATAATATAGATGTTTTGGTGCAACAAAATATAGTTTGCTGTTAGAAGGAATCCCAGGTTCCTGTGGTCACCTGACCTGCGAGAGATCAACTTGATCATAACAAGTTAGTGGTCCCTCTCCTCGTTAATACGGAGGACGTGGTGTTTGTGGTTTCCAAAAATAGTTTTAGATTTGGACTCGTCTGACCTCAGAACAGTTCTGGCCCATTTGAAGTGAGCTCTGGTCCAGAGAAGACAGCAGTGGTTCTGGATGGTGTTCACATCTGGATTCTTCTTTGTCTGATAGAGCTTTAAGCAGCATTTGTGGATGAACTGTGTTTACAGACAATGGTCTGTGGAAGGGTTCTTGTCTGTCTGTCTGTCTGCCTGCCGTCCTGCCTGTCTGTCTGTCTGCCTGTCTGTCTGCCTGTCTGTTCTTTTACAGCCAGTCTTCTTACTGACACATCATCAAATAAATGCTCATCCAGCTGTTTCTTATTTGCAACACTTACTTCTACAGCCGTTTGCTGCCTCAGCTTTGCTTTTAGATGTTTTGTTAGCGTAACATTTAGTTTTTCTCAGATTCAACACTTGACAAGCTTTTTTATGTTTCACTGTAGATAAAATAAAACGTTTTTATTTACATTTCACTCCACATCCCAACTCGTTCCTGAATTAGGGTTGTTCACGATTGAGCATGAACTTGGTTAAGTTTCAGCTCAGAGTCAGAAGCCTCAGAAAAAGAGAACGGGGCCGTGTTGGTGTTGCTGCTTCACTGAAGGAGTGAAGGAATGCAGGCCGATGACATGCCCGAGTGTTGAGGTGGTTTGCTCGCACCGAAGAGGAAACTATGCAGCTTCACTTTCCCAAAGACCTGTGGAACGTTCTACAGACTGATTTGATCAGAAATTAACCTGCTGCTGTTTATACGTTCTCACTGGTTGGAGACGAGACCAGAGGCCAAGTCTGGACTCGGAGCTGTTTACTGACTCGTAACGGTAACGCTGAGGTCAAGCCGGCCGCACCCATCAAGTTATTATTGTTGTTCTTTTAATCTGATGATGACGTTTGTTGGACAGCTGACAATCCAAGTTAAACATCCTGTGTATCTGAGAAATGAAGCGGTGAGAGGACTCGCTGCAGGCCCTATAAACACAATTAACTTATTTACAGCTTGTGGTTAAATTAGAAATGATTTAAATGTGTTGAGCGTTTTGTGTTTTTAACAATAAGCTCTTATTTTATGTGCAAATCCTTTAGCCCCGCTGAACTCATTGTGGCATATAATCTACAGATCAGCTGATCAGTGTTATAATCTATTTCCTTGTGTAGGACAAACGAAGAGTCGCTTCACATTTCTGTCATTTCTATCTGCTTCCTCAGTGTTTAGTTACGGGGGTGACGTTTGTAAAGTTACACTGTCAAAAATTAACAGCAATGGTTTGGTTTACTTAGCCTTCAATAAGAAAAAAAATTGAGTTTTTGTTTTCAAAGTCACCACGTTATTCATACTTTTATAAATGTCATAGTTTACAAACTAAATACTTAAATTGCAATTTAAATATTTAGTTAGTAAAATAAACATTTAGGTGTAAGTTAAATATTTAATTTACAAGCTAAATATTTAACTTCCAAGCTAAATATTTAGCTTGCAAGTTATATATTTAGATCAGAGTTAAATATTTAGTTTGGAAATTAAATATTTAGCTTGGACAATAAATATTTAGCTTGGACAATAAATATTTAGTTTGGACATTAACTGTTTAGTTTTGGAAACTAAATATTTAGCGTGGACAATAAATATTTAGCTTGGACAATAAATATTTAGTTTGGACATTAAATGTTTAGTTTTGGAAATTAAATATTTAGCTTGGACAATAAATATTTAGCTTGGACAATAAATATTTAGCTTGGACAATAAATATTTAGTTTGGACATTAAATGTTTAGTTTTGGAAACTAAATATTTAGCTTGGAAACTAAATATTTAATTTACACCTAAATATTTAGTTTACAAACTAAATACTTAACTTGCAAGTTAAGTATTTAGTTTGTAAATTAAATATTTAGTTGGGAACTATATTTATAAATGTATGAATAACATGGTGAAAATATGACTGAAAAAAAAAACTTTTTTCTTATGAAAGGCTAAATAAACCAAAATATTGCTGTTAATTTTTGACCGTGTTACTTTACAAACCGCACCCCATAGTTATCAGCTATAAGTATCCAACAATACGCTTCAGCTGAGGTTTGTGTAAAACAGCACTGCCACTTTGCTCGGCTTTTGCTTGTTGCTTACAGAATGCACGAACAGCTTTAGTTGTGTTCAAAAGAACAAAATAAAAATAACGTAAAGGACTTGACTGTCAGGACACACATCAGCTGCATCTCAAGCTCAACCAGTTTTGCTCTAAGATGGGGCATCCTGATGGTTAATAATGAGCCTTATCTACAGAAAGGCCACACATGAGTTATTTCCTTGCTGGGGGACGTACCGTCCTGCCTGGGTCGGAGGGAGAGGTGACAGAGGCCAGTGACCTGACCAAGAGCCCACGCAGCCTCCTCGGAGGTGGAGTCCTCCAGCACCATCTTCAGAGCTTTCTCCTTCTGCTCATACTTCACCTGCACAGCAACAACTCGATGAGTAAACCTTCACTGTACACAGAGAGATCATCTTCACAACACGTCCACCCACCTCCACAATCTGCGACCCGGGATTGATGCCAACTTTATGGGCGGCGCTGCCCGCGGTCACCTGATGCACAAACACCCCGGTTTTGTTCCCCCCCACCACGGTCAGCTGGCTGAGCAGGGCGTCCCCCTGGAAGGAGATGCTGAGGACGCGGCCGTTGACACGGATGGCCTTGGGACGAGAGCGCACCAGGAAGGGAGGGGCTGAGGTTCGAGTGAGGCTGGTGCAGCACAAGAGACAATAAATAAATAAAAATACAAACATTTTTTAAAAAGCAAATATTTCAGGAGTTCTGTGGATGATTTCCACCCAGTTTATTTAGTTTCTATTGTTTATTGCGTGAATGTTTATGAAGCATTCACGCTGCTGTGATTCATTTTTCTTCAGTACGTTTTTCTGCATCTGTCTTGTTCCACAATTTTTGTGCTATTTCAACAAATCATAATCAAAAGGTTCAGCTCTTTCAGGACAATCCTGCTTTGACTTTTGGCATTGGTGCAACTTTAGCTTTTTCAAATATTTAGGCTTTTCTGCCACTTTTTTTCTCATAGAAAATGAATTGAGCTCATTTTACATCCTTCAAACCTTTAGATCCGTTTACAACCTTTTACTGCTCCTTTCACATTTTGTTCTGATTCAGCTTCTTTCAGCTTCCTTCTGCAAATTTATTATTTTTACAACTAATTTCAGCTGTTTTATCAGCTGTTTTGTGCTCCTTTCAGAGCCTTTCTGCTAACTACAACATTTCTTTGCTAATGCGTTAGCATTTTTGTAGCTAATTTCGGCTGTTTTCAGAGTTTTTCATGGTAATTTCTGCCACTTTCAGCTTAATTAACTTCACATGGTAATTTCAGCTTGTTATGCTCATTTCAGCTTTTTTCTGCTAGTTTCAGCTTTTTCTGCTGTTTCAGCTCATTTCAGCTCTTTCTGGTAGTTTAAGCTTCTTTATGTCTTTTCAGCTACTTTTCAGCTATTTTGTTTGTTGCCAATTTCAGCTTTTTTAGCCAATTCCCTAATTTTTGTGCCCATTTCTGTTAATATACACCTGATTCAGCAAAAATGTGTTCTTTCTGCTTTCTTCTGCTAATATTTCATTTAACCTTTATTTATACAGGTTAATCCCATTGAGCAACAAGGACTCATTTACAAGAGAGACCTGGTTTTAACAAAGATATAAACAATCTTTGTGTTTTTTCTTGTTTTCTCAAAGAGAACAGTTGTTTTTTATTTTAATCCAACATATCTCATTTTGTTAAGAACAGGTTTTATATCAATGACACCAAACTTTTATTGATTTTAATCCCTAAATTAAACGATGTTGACCTAGAGTTCTGCAGTGAAATATTTTATGAACTGCTCGCTCGTTGACAAGATGAATATTTGAAATTTACCTTTTTTTTGCAATAAAAAAAAAACCAAACTATAATCTTTTTTTAATTAACTGCTATATAGATGTGTTTTAAATCTTTATTTGAAGTTTTCTTGGTTCAGAATAAACGGTTAATAATAATAAAAGAGGTCTTAAATTAAAAATGATGCGTTTTTGCTTGGGTTGCAGAATTTAGTGACATTTTCCTTCAAAAGAGGAAGTCAGAACGTTAAAATAAGTCATTGTTTCAGTTCAAAGTTAAAAATGTGTCCTGCTCTGGAATGTGCCTCCCAGCAGGAGATTTTAGACCCTGGTTAATAATTAAATCTATTTGTTGAAGGTTTACAGACATGATGCGTCTGCTGCTCATTTAATATCATTTCCACTCTATTGTGTGAATATGCATTATGATTCACCCGTTAACAATGTTTGCAAATTCACAGCAACTAATCTTTGCTCTCCTATCACATCATGATGCAAAGCTCTTTGTTTTATTTGACACTCAGCCAGCGTTTTTCTTCACCTCATGGAGTCGGAGCCACCGGAGGAGGAAAGCTCGGGCGGCTTCTGGTCCTCGCTCCATTCTAAATTAAAAACAGAGCAAGTGAGCTAACCTGGCGGCAGCTTGTTATGTCAGAGTTAATGAGTCACTCGACAGCCCTGGAAATGATCCAGCACTGAAGAATAATCAACATCCATCTGCTGAACAATGAGCCGCCGCTCCAACACTCACCCAAGGAAAGGGTTTGTTGTCCGTCAGGGAGGAACACAAAGTCGTCCAGTAGAGAGTCCGTCTCTGCTGTTTCTAAACTAAAAGGAATTTAAAAAAAACCTCACATTATTATTCTGTAAATGAGAAGGAGACTGAATGCAAAACTATGTCAAACTTCACAAACTGGTTTGCCAGGTTGGAAGAGCTAAAGTCTTTTTATGACCGAGCTGATTCTGCCAATCTTAAACATCGGAACATTCTTTCAGGCTTCAGGACAAACCTTGTGTCTAAGAATAGCACACTTTAATAAACTGTATATTTACAGCTCAGCAGCTCCTGTTTGTAACTGTCTGTGTTCTATACTCTGCATCGACATTAAAAACCCTTTTCTTAGGGCAATCCCATTAAAACTCATGCTACAATGTAAAAACGGGAAAAAATGACTCAGCAATTTTTATTCTTCTCAGAGTAAAAAGACGCCCTGAAAACTTGTTAACTCGATAACGCACAACTCAAATAAATGTTAAATACACACCAGCTGTCCGAGTTTAAAATCTCTTCTCTTCGGCGGAGGGACTCGGGACTGGGCGGCTGAGCGTTTCTGGATCGGACGCTGCTCGCACCAGGATCTTCATTCTGCGCAGAAAAAACTTTAATGATGTATAAATGTGAGCAAACGTTAAGGATCTGCTCGTGTTTGGAGTCATCATGCACTCGGTGGGATCCAGGCACGTACACACATGGTGTTGGAATATTCCCTAACGAGTTTCTGGATTGCTCTAAAGGTCAGCAAACCCACTGATGTTCCTGAAAAGCTACAGACGGATTTAAAAGGCATGAATTATTTCTTTCAACACTTCAGATTTGCCCGAGTCATATTTACTGAGCCCGTTTGTGCTCAGGCTCTTAAACAAACATGAATAAAAGCTTCCAAGACAGGTGGGTAATGATTTTTCCCAGAATGCCTTTTTGACTTGGTTAATGGTGTTGAAGAGTCACAGCATGTTGCATCTGTCATTCACTAAAAAACAACACATCATCTGCAATAAAACCACACAGAAATACTTTCTTTTTATGACATTTACTGCATATTTGTAGATTGAATGCTTTGTAGGAATAATTTATCCCAATCATATCTGTTAGACATTTTGTTTTGTTTCTTAATCTGAAGATTTTGCATGACCGATGTACTAAACGGAACAAAACTCTTCCTGTATATCAAATGTACGTCTTGTGATAATTATACAGATATTAAGATTTGTTAAAAATAGAATGGGGAGGTTTTTTTTAAAGACATCTAATTCTTTATTTACTCCATTTATTCATTTGTCGGCACATATTTGAGTCAAAAGCTCCAAAATCCTGATTTAAACGCACGTGTGATGTTGAGGGCTGGTGGAGGCTCAGGCCTGCTTCTGGCCCTCAGGACTTAGTTCTGCTTGTATGAATTTGAAGTTCAGTCCGTTTGTAATCTGATCAAGAGGAACGCTAACGTCAAATCTAAAAAATGCAGAAGAAAGTAGAAAATTTAAAATAAAATGAACAGTAATAAAGAAACAGCGCTATGAACAACGCGTCACAAAATAATGTTTGGAGTTAAAAAAAAAATTTGTTTGAAAGCTCAAATCACTCAGGAAGCTTAAATCACAATAAAGGTTAAATCAGGTCATCTGGACTGTTTCTTTTTGGGAGAACCGTTTTGTCTTTCATCTGAAAGATCTTTTTCTGAAGGTGTCCTCAGGCGTAGCTGTTGGCCATCTGGCCTAAAACTTTAGTTATGCACGATGATCGATTGTTTTGGACGGATGTCCCTCTTTACATGTGCAAAGCGTCACGTCAGTGAGGTGCTATTTATAAGACAGATCTTGGTGGCAGGCCTCAGACTGATGAAGTCTTTTGGATGAAAAGATGAAACGTTTCTCCCCCAAAAAACCTGTCCAGCTGACATGATTTAACCATTCTGGTGAATTTTTGGAGTACGTGAAGCTTAAGAGGAATCAGAATGGATATGGTTGTGTAGACGTTACTTGATGTCTCATAGATTTGGTCTTTTTCGAATTGTTCATCAGAAAATTCTGTATATTTTTAAAAGAAAGGTCAAAACCAACATTTAACAGCTAAATGTTTGTATCTAGCATACACTATTACATCTAAAGTAGTTTAACACAAATAAGTGAGTTGCAGCAGATCTCACAGTCACCTCTGAGGTAAAGGAGCTCATGGACTCGGGGTTGACGGCGTCCATGCGGCAGAGTCTTCGTCGAGGTGGAGGCGGCTCTTCTTCACAGCTGGATGACAGCCTCTGCCAGCTGACCTTCTTCTCCTGTGATCCAGACACAGGAAAACACATCACCGGTGTTTATTATATTTCTGTGTGCGTCATGTTTGTGCATGGTGACGTGTGTTTCTTTTAAAGTACATCAGGGCTCTGTTGTTGGACTTCATAGCTTCGCTTGGCCTGAAGGGTGAAGACGGTCTCCTGGAGCTCCACCAGCTGGCTCCTCAGGGTGTCCTTCTCAGCCAGGATGCGGGCGATTATTGCCTGGGCCTCGTCTCTGGACAGGTAAGCCTGCAGGCATGGAGGGAATTCATATTTATCCAACACTGATTAGTTTACACCAAACAGGCTGGCACACCTTTCACTAGTGTCGATGCAATTTAAATAAAAAACTAAACGACTTGAAAACCGCAGCGGAAAAATTATTGTGCAATCTCTCTAACCTGAACCATGAATGGACACGTTCCAGTCAAGGATTGTTGAAATGAAGCAACATAGTTTAGTCATCGAAATGTGTGAAATGCAGAATGCAGGAAAAACAGTGTCACCTTTCTGCCACATGTTCTCAGAAACACGAACAATAACGAATAGAAACTAAAAATAGAAGAATAGAAACATCTTCAGTTACCATGCACCTAAAACTGGCATGTAAAGTTTATGAATAGTTAAATATATGAAGCTAAATAAATTAAACAATCTGGCCCAACTTAAAAAAAATAAAATCCAGCAAACATTTAAATATATATCTATATATACACATGTATACACATGTGTATATATATATATATATATATATATATATATATATATATATATATATAAATAGTCATGTCAACTTTATTTATAAAGTGCTTTTAAAAAAGCTATTGTTACGAAGGTGCTTAACAATAACAACAATGAGAGTAAAATTAATGGGAAAAATAACACTAATGATAGTACTGAAAATGCCCAATCACCTCTGAGCTTCAGTTTTTGGAACAGCCAAAAGCAGCTGATCCGATGATCTCGGACCAGAGATTTAACAGAGGGTGAATGGAGCAAGCACTGGTTTAAAGGACAGGTAAATCTGACAATCATCAGCATAACAATGGAATGAAAGCACGTTTCCTCAGGATAGACCCCAGAGGGAGAAAATAAAGTGAGAACAAAAGGTGTCCAAGAATCAAGCCCTGTGGGACCCCGCAGGAAAGAGGCATTGAAACAGATACATTATTACCAATCTTGACACTCCTGTCAATCAGGTAGGAGTCGAAACATTTTAATACTGTAATCCCAACCCAGTGTTCAAACCGCCTAGATTTAGATACTTAACATACATATACATACATGTATATGAAAATACTGTAAATAAACATATATATTTCTATACATTTATAAGATATAGTGAATTTAAACCGGCTTAATTCATTTCTAATTGCACTGTATCGTCTGTTTTAGGTGATTAAAAACAGTGGGCCTGTTAATTCAAGTGCTGCTTGTCTTTAACGAGAGATGGTTTTTTTTTTTTAGAATCAGCTGATCACACGGTAAGAACGAGTCGCAGGTTTCTGCTCTGCTTCAGTGGAGGCAGCTTCAGGACATCTCACAGTTTCTGAGGTGTGGATGCGTCGCTCAGTTTATTGTTCTTGGTGTAACAAAAAAAAGGGTAATCTGCGGTTGATTGTTATGACAAGCAGCTAAAAGAGTCGTTGCAACATGGCAGGAAGAGGAGCAGCAAGGTTTGTTCTGGTTTGTGCATCATGAAAAACAAAATCATTTCCAGGAGACGTGAGTTCGTCTGCGTTTCTTATCCGAGAAACATTTCTACAACTGTGAGTCAGTGCTGATAGAGCTGACGCCTGGTGCTGTGGGCACGAGATGTTCTAGCAGGACAATAACAACATGGCAGCCGTTTCCAGGGTAACATAAAACAAAGTGTAAATCAGAGAAGCTTTGCGTTTCAGTGCATTTCAAATGGAGAGGAGCTCTCTACCTGGTCTCTTTCTGCCTGAAGCTCTCTCATCTGGTTCAGGACCACCGTGGTCTTCTGCTGATGCATCTTCACGTCCAGAGACAGCTGTTGCACCTGGAGGCTCAGCTTCTCCTTCTGCTCTAACAGCTGACAGAGACATTTGTGTGTTAGAGCCACGTGACGCACTTTAAAACACCGACCAAGTTAGCACGCTGCTAGCTTCGCCACAGGTTTGCTGAACATTTGAAAGAACTTTGAAAACAATGATCACTTTTGGAAAAAGTCATCGCTGAAACAAACGCTTGTTCATAAAAGGTTTCCTCTGACGGACAACGTCTCCACGTCATGGAAGTGTTATTTCCATCAGAACTGTTGGGGTGAATTTGCATCTTTTTCCTGATTCATAATGACTGCCAAACAGTTGTGCACACACACACACACACACACACACACACACATAGAATGGTGCTTCATAAGACCAGAGGTTACCCCTTTTTCCAACATCTGGACAACACAAAAACTTTGTCACAACTTTTTATTTGACATGCAGAAAACAAACTTCGCTTCAAAGATACAGAACACACACACACACACACACACAAGCGTACACGTACTCCTTGTTTGTCTCTGAGCAGCTTCTCGTTCTCCTCCCTGCAGCATCTCAGCTGCTCCGCCAGCTCCACCTGACTGTTTATGGCCTCCGCCAGGTCCTGGGCCAGGATGTCCTGCCGGGCCTGATGGGGCGACAAACAGAAGCAGCTTTTCACGGTTCAAAGATCACGAGTGACAAACAGCCAACGTGCACAGAACGATTCAGGGGTGGTGCTCACCGGATCCAGTTTCTCTGCCTTCTCCAGCTGTGAGCGCAGCTTCCTGACCTCCTCCTGCAGCTGAGGGCTCTCCGGAGCAGAGCGGCACCGGAGCGAGTGCTGTTTTTGGATCTCGTTCTCCGTGTGAACACTCTGGAGCTCAGTCTGCAGCTGGTACACCTGCCGTCACACAAGCCCAACTCATCTGATCAGACCACGATGAATGAATGAAAGGGCGTACGGTTTGTAACGTGTTAAATGTCGACTTTTACAGTTAAATTTAACTGGAAGTACCTCCTGTTGTGCCTTAGTTTAGAGAAGTTCACTTGAACGTTTAATTTCTTTCCTTGCAGTGATTTTATCACATGAAACTTGGCATCACCAAGAACCAGTTCCCTACAAAGTCCGACCTTCGCCTGAGACATGTAGCAGTTTGTGACATGCTTCGTTCAAAACACCACATCCTGAGAAAAATTTAATTTCTAGCACAAGTTTTCACTTCTGTCCAGACTCACACAGACATTTCACTGCAGAGCTCTTTTAAAACTGACAAAGTTCAGCTGCCTTTAATTATTACTTTAAGAGAGCACGGTTTGTTTCTTAAAAACTCCCTCACCGGCAGCTAAAATACAAACAGGAACTCACTCAGCCAACAATTTTATCACAAATAATGAATTGAGCTCCAGGTTTTCAAAAATTTTAATGCTAAAATGATTTAACATCCATCAGGCTGGTAGCATATCGGGTGACACCGTTCATTTCGTCCTCTAAGTTTCAACTTTTTAGCCGCTGCTGATAAAACCCACAGTTTTAGCTACGTTTGTTTTTACGAGACAGAAGCTGCTGACACAACATTTATTGACATGCTGGACTTCGGGATTTCCAGCTTCAGGCTGAGAAACAAAAAAACAGAAACTAAAAAAGGAGCATCTGTAAAAGTCAGAGATCCTAGGTGGGAAATAAATTTCAATAAATTTCAAAGTACTAAAAACAGAAGTCAAATCATCATTTATGGATAAAACAGAAGATCCAGGTGGCACAGCATCTTCCTACAGATTATATTTAATATCTCAAATAAAAACTAATAAAATATTGAACTTTGGGAAAGCAGTTCAGTACCTAAGACAGAATCTCCAGTCCTTCATATTTAATGTTTGAAGTAGTGCTGAATTGTTGGATATATTTAAATAAAAAGTTCAGGTGTAGTGTAGCTAGCTAGAGGAACCTGCACCACATACGTACGTTTCCAGGCGTGTTATCGGAGACACTGTGTTCTCTGCGTGCCGCTCCTCCTAGTTTGTCAGATTGATCAAATCTCGTTCATATTCAGCTAAATATCTGCAATTTTACATAAAGCCCTACAAAACCAGCTGGTTCTTCCAGTTTAAGGTTTGAAACTCACCTTGAGGCTTAAATAAATGCTCATTTTTAAACACATTTATTGAGAAAGTCTCTAAATCGAAAAGCTAACTGGCTCCTAACAGTTACATTTGTACATTACAGTATATACAGTTAAATTTTGTGGGGGAGTGGTGGTGCAGAGGTTAGAAGATGGGCCTGTGATTGGAAAGTCACAGGTTCAACTCTCAGTACCGTCCACATCAACATGTGGATGGAAAAGGTGGAACACCCACACCTGCCTCCACCCTCATTTGCCCCACTCTGGGCCCCTGAGCAAGGCCCTTAACCCCCATCTGCTCCCTAAACAGGTCTCTCTACAAAATGAGTTCTCGTGGCTCAATGAGACTACCTGGATAAATTTAAAAAATCCAGGCTCCTGTTGCACTTTGAGCTGTAAAGTGACACTCATCTCCAAACAGACATTTCTGCCCAATAAAAGACGACTTCCTCACTGGGCATTCAAACCTTTTCTTATTTTTTAGATCTACTCGTAGAAAATGGGTTTTTTTTTGGAAGCTCCTGGAACTCCGTCAAATAGTTTTGTCTGTTAAGCCTCTTCAAAGTACTGCTCACTTACAGACAACCCCCTCTTAATTCATTTAATGGCTTCCTGGAAGGAAAGCCGTTATTTGCTGAAGGAGAATCATATCAGGCGGAGGTGCTCGGCGCTGTAAATCCTTCCTTGGTTCATTTCCCTCTGTGTTTGTCCTGAAGTTTAAAGCAGACTTGGACGGTTGTAAATTGCTCACCTGCAGGTTGAGGTCATGGAGTCGCCCGCTCATTGCTGATTTCTCCTCGATGACGGCCGTGTAGCGGATATACAGATCACACTTCTCGTCCTTCAGCTTGGTGACTTCTCGCTGCAAAGAGCTCAGGAGCCTCTGCAGTTGTTCACTTTCAGACTGAAGCTGCCTGGACTTCTGCTCCCGCTCCACGAGCTGCCCAACCTCTGACTCCAGGGATTTGCACCGTGTGCCCATCCTGGTGGCCTCGCCGCGGGCCTCCTGCAGCTCCTTCTGCATCCCCGTCACCGCTCTGATGAGGTACTCCGTCAGCTCCGAGTACTTGATCAGTCCTGTGAGGAGAGCAACGCGCTTCACGCAAGCTGCGAGTCGAAACACAGACAGATATCCTCTGAAAACACGAGGAAGCCTCCGACCACTGACCGCTGAACCTCGATGGTTCTGTGCTGGGCTTGCGTCCGGTCACTTGGCTGTAGAGGGTCGGATAATGAATCATCAGGCCCTCCAGCAGAGCGATGGCTCCATTCCTTCCCTGGGTCCTCAGCAGATCCAACATGTAGCCTAAAAACAACAGATCAGTTATTTAAACATGAGGCTTAACTCAAAGCAATCACCTGTTCAATAAACGCACAACACACAAATGTCTAGAGATTTTTAAGAGCAAGAAAAAAATACACGAACAGTTTATGTGTTTTAAAGAGAACCAAGGTAAAAAGAAATGCTAAAGCTGCGAACAGAGATTCATTATGGTTGCTGTGGCAACCACACACCTGTGTCTCACTCCCTGACCGCCACGTTATTGAGAAGCAGACAAAAATGATTAAAAAGCAGCTAAAAAAACTAGAAATGAGTCAAATTTGGGAATTGTTGAGCTGTGAGTGGCAGAAGACTCCAATGGTCATGCGAATGTTTACTTCTCTAAAGTGTTTGATGTAGTAAATATGACAAGTTAAAAATACTTTTTGCCTCTAGTATATCAGATAATATTTTGAGCAAAGTTAAATGTGAATCTGTGGGAGTTTGGATGAAGTCTGGATTCTGGGATTATCTGACAGAAAACCATAACAGTGAGAGGAATTCTGGGTAAAATGAGATTTCTTCACTTTCATACATAATTTATGTAGGTACAAAAAGGAGTTGTGGAATTTGTTTGAAAAGTTTTTCAAAGTTTAGACAGGTGTGAAATAACCAATAGTGGAAAAATCAGTAAAAATCATCTAATGTAAACAAAGAACTGTTAAAAAATGCCAGCTCAGACACGTACAGATTAAATGTTTAAACTTTGAAAGATGTTTCTAATATGAGGTCTGTTTAAGCTCCAAAGAGTTTTCTAAACTGTTTCATTAAAATCACATTGATGTCCATTTTACTTTCTCATTGCTTTTTTTTAAATTAAGTTTGGTCACCACTGTGCATCAAACTGATGCCAAAAGTCTCGACTGAACACTTTTGAGTGTAAAGTTTTCATGTTCTATTTTAAAACTGTATGAAGAGATACAAATAAAAACAGCTGAACAGGAAACTCTAATTCTATTTATAAAAACATAATGATCAGAAATTGTAGTATTTGTACATTTAAATCCCTTTAAGCAGCACAACATGTTGATTTTGTGATAATAATTGGTCTAATTTAAGGCTATTCCACTAAACTGTTCAGGGGACCACAGTTTCTAAAAGCCAGCAGCTCAGGGGCTGAACATCCAGCTATTAGTCATTATGTAAATAAACTAAGTATTACAATGACCTGTTACCTTTTAAATGTGTTTATTTTGTTGCATTGAATCATAAATGCAAATAGAAAAATTACACTTTCTGTAAAAATGCATTGTGAATACTTATTGCTGAAGAACTTGCTGGAAAAGCAGCTGAAATTAGATTAAAAAATACATGCTGGAATGTAGCTGAAATGGAAAAACAAGCCTAAATTAGGAGAAGAAAGCAGAAACACATATTTACTGAATTTGGTTAAAATTAGCAGAAATTGGTACAAAAATTAGGAAAATAGCTAACAAACAGCTGACATTTGCAAAACATTGCTGAAAGGTAGCTGAAAAGGCAGAAAGAAGCTTAAACTACCAGGAAGAAGCAGAAGGAGCTGAAATACTGAACTCACATAAGCACTGATTTAATAATCTAACCTCCCAAACCCCTGGACTACTATTGTGCAATACTACTGACATTTCTCTTAATCACCTTACCTCTTAATTACCTCACTAATATCCATAATGTGCAATATTCAAATTTACATAATGGTGAAATAACATATTTTTTACTTTCATAGTTCTACTATATCTATATTGTGTTATATTTTAATATTTTTAGGTGTGTTTTTTAAGCATGTTTTGCACTGAAAAAGAAGTTGCTCTCAATCTCATTGTACTTGCGTATAATGACAATAAAGGCATTCTGATTCTGATCCAATTCTGAAATACCAGTAGGCTAAAAAAATGTAGAATTACCTGAAAAGCTAAAATTAGCATAAAACAGCGAATAGTAGCTGAAATGGCAGAAAAAGCTTAAACTACATGGTAGAAGAAAAAAGGTGACAGGGGCATAACAAGCTGAAATTAGCACAGGGACGTTATTTAGACTGAAAGTAGCAGAAATTACAAAAGACAGCCGAAATTGGCTAAAAAATATAGCTGAAAATTTAGAACAAGCTTAAATTAGAAGAAAGCAGAAAGAAGATGTTTGCCCAATTATGCTGAAAGAAGCAGAAATGAGCACAAAACAATGGAAATTATCTTTAAAAAAAGCTGAAATTAGCTAAACCAGCTGAAAAGTAGCTAAAAAGCTGACAGAAGCTTAAATTAGCAGAAGAAAGTGGAGAAAGCAAATTTTTGTTAAATTGGGCTAAAAAAAGTTGAAATGAGTGGAAAAAAAAAGCTGGAATTAGCCGAAAAAGCTAAAATTAGCATAAAACAGCTAAATAGTAGCTGAAATAGCAAAAAATGCTGAAACAAACAGAAATAAGCTGAATGGAGCATAACAAGCTGAAATTAGCTGAAAGTAGCTGAATATTTTTTTTATTTGCACAAGGAAGCTGAACCAAAACAAACCATAAAAGGAGCAGTAAAAGGTTGTAAACAGCTCTAAAGATGTGAAGGATGTAAAATGAGCTCAATTCATTTTATTTGAGAAAAATGGCAGAAAAGGCTAAAAATTTTAAAAAGCTAAAGCTGCACCAATACCAAAAGTCCTAGCAGGATTGTCCTGAATGAGCTAAACGTTTTGATTAATGATTTGTTGAAATAGCACAAAAATTGTGGAACGAGAAAAATGCAGAAAAGCGCATGTAAGAAAAATGGATCACACTAGTGTAAATGCTTCATAAACATTCACACAATAAACAGAACCCAAAACCCAAACCTCCGTTTTTTCTAATTTTTTTTAATGAACTCATTGGCGACCGGACTGGTCTGCGGGCCGCCAGTTGAGTAGCCCTGGTCTAAGTACTGCAGGTGCTGCAGGTGCTCAGTTTGCATCCAACGCTGAATGAAAACAATCCAGAAGCAGTAAAAAGGACTAAATGTTTGCAGCGACAGAAACGGGGTCACTTCTTTTGATAAAACTCCCCAACCCAAAACAAAACAAAGCTGGAAGCTCACTGGTTCTCATGCAGCGGTTGGTGAGGTTGTGGCACGACAGGATCTCGTCCTCGTCCAGCTCTGTGAGGACCCGGACCTGCCTCAGGTACGGGATCAGGATGCATGGCCGAACCCCTAAGGAGATCCGGTGACGGTTGTCGTTAATCAGCTCCCAGAGCGCCTCCTCGTTCATCTCCTTCGGGTCGGGAGCCTCCAGGACGCACTCCGCCGCCATCCTGAGTGTGTTTCAGTCTGAGCACAGCTGGAGGAGCGAACAGTCCCAGAACAGCAGCCTGAATGAAAGAGGCATGAAAAAATGAAAGCAGATTAAAAAAAGCTTGCCTTTTTCCACGCCCTGTGGGTGTTTGTTTGTAGGTGGGCGTGAAGGAAAAACCTGTATGACAGGAGCATTTGAGTCTTTGTGATGCAGCTCTGGGTGTCGCCTCCAACACCTGATGGTGAAAACAGACAGCTCTCACATACAGTCACACACAAACACTCACAAACCAACAATCAAACAAACCGCACTTACCGTTTCCTTCATTCATGCTTCGTTGGCTCCTAACGACATAACGATTGTCCAAACATAAACTTCTGCTCAGTTTTATGAATGACATAACCTGGATTTGTTTGAATACAACTGTTTGGCTCAGTCTGTGGACTAACAGGAAGAAAACGTTGTGTTTGGCTTAATAATTCCTAATCACAACAAAGCAAACACGTCCTGCGCCACAGCACTGAAGGACAAAGTCCTCTGTTACGAAAGGAAACAATGCTCAGGACAGGTGGTTCTGTTATCTAAACACATGCTTCATATACACGGACACACGGTGTCCTGTTTCATAAGGACGATGTATATAAATGGAAGCTGTAACTTACTGTAAATGATAGAGGTGTTAAAGTCTGACAGGAGCTCACAAGCTTAACAGAAAAATTAAAAAGAAGTTAGTAAAGCTGTGAAATACTGTTGATTTTTAGCGACGACAACGATGCATCTTGCAGAGACGCGTGTCTTGTAGTAAAAACCTACGATTCTTTGAATAAATGCACATCGCCCACCAGCTTTCAGGCCAGAGTTTTAAACTAAGGTCATATTTTGATGAACTCAATGTTGCAGGAAGTGGTTCCTACTTTTTAATGGGCAGTAATAAAAACCAGCATATCTAAAGTATATCTACGATATCTTCTTCCAGATGGACATGCCTGGAACACCTCCCTAGGGAGGGGTCCAGGGTTCTTACCAGACGTGTGAACCGCCTCAACTGGCTCCTGTGGATGTGGAGAAGAAGAAGCTCCACGCCAAGTCTCTCCTGGAGAACTGAACTCACCCTCTCTCTAAGGAAGTGTCCAGCTGTCCTGCAGAGAAGACTCATTTTGATTGTCTGTATCCACAGTCTTGTTCCATCGGTCACCACCCAGAGTTGGTGGCCATAGGTGAAGGTAGGACCATAGACTGACTGGTAAACGGAGAGCTTCTCCTTGCAGCTCATCTCTCTTCACCACAATGGACCGGCACAGAGTCCACAATACTGCAGAAGCTGCACCAATCCCTCTGTTGATCTCACGCTCCATTCTTCCCTCACTTGTATACAAACCCCAAGATACCTCCTCCACTGGAGGCAGAACCTCACTCCAAACAGGACAGTCCACCCATTTCCAACTGAGGACCATGACCTCAGATTTGGTGGTGCTGATTCTCACCCCAGCAATGTGGTTTTTAATCACTATTATTGTTCTTATGCAGTATCTATAGCTGTTTTAAAGCAAACTAACGTATCTTAGGCGACTGCGTGAAGATGAGAAGTTGCTGGAACAAACTAATATCCTGTACATATCCAACAATGTTCAGTCAGGTCATCTGGACAGTTTCTTTTTTTGTTGACATTTTGTCCTTCATCCAAAGGACTTCATCAGTCCGAGGAGCCACAACAAACTCAGTCCCACAAGCAGCACACTCGTATAGTGGACCAACCAGTTTGATGGTGATAAGATGGTTTATGGGGTCCGCCCTCTCCCCATCGACTCCTCTGAGGCAGCCATAGCCAAAGTGGTTCAAAACACCAAAGTTCATGCTCAATAATCCAGGAAAAAAATCCAACAAAGAAACCATCTTATCACCATCAAACTGGTTGGTCCACTATACGAGTGTGCTGCTTGTGGGACCGAGTTTGTTGTGGCTCCTTGGACTGATGGAAGTCCTTTGGATGAAGGACGAAACCTCTCAAAAAAGAAACCATCCAGATGACCTGACTGAACGTTGTTAAATTTTTTACCTGGATTATTGAGCATGAACTTTGATGTCCTGTACAGAATCAACAAAGTTTCTTTCCTTTGATAGTTTGTCAAACAATTACTTTGAAAGTTCATAAAAATCCATCCAATAGTTCTTGAGATATTTTGCTAATACCACAGACAGACAAACAAACACTCATAGAAAAGGGCAAAATGCCCAATGAATGAGCTCAAAAGTTAAAGGTTACAAACTTCATGAACCAAAGACACTTTTCTTTCTCTTTATGTCTTGAAGTCTAAACAATGCTGCCGTTAAAAAAAAGATGATCCGGTCTTCTGTAACGCACGGCTTCTGCAACATTATTTTAGTTTGCATCACTGTGCACAACGAGGGTGACTAAGCAGAAACAATTGCCATAGAAAATGTAATATGGATTAAAGGTCAAAACATTTATGTATAAAAACAATGTTGGAAGGACCTTGTACACATTCTATAAATAATTTCTCACTTTTGTTTAACAGATACGACCTCATCACCCATAAACTCCTTCATACTGTAATCATCAGGAGCAAAGTCGACCTTGTTCCCTGACAGGAAAACATGCCAGCGTTGAAACTTAATAACCTTTTTATTTTCTGAGTAATTAACTTTTGTGCAGAGTTATGTGTCCCACAAAAGAGTTGGTTCGTTATGTTAGTTTGGTTTTAATCCAATGAAAAATTAAAGATCGGCCGGTGGTGGAGGTATCGTGACTTCAGTGAAATGCTTGTACAGGATATGCTTCTGTTCACAAATACATACGTTCTAAACGATGAGAGGGAACAAATGTCGATGTTTATTTTACAACCAAGACAAGCTGAGTTGAGGAGTGAGACTGAGATGATTGGTTGGACGAGTACCTTGTAGGCAACTTTAGATTCTGTCATCAGAAATGACTGAGTTATGTTCTTCTTCTTTTACACCTGCTTCTTATAGGTCTCCATAAAGTGATCATCTGCCTCCATCTCACACCATCCCAGCCTCCGTCTCTGCCACACACTGCAGAGATGAACTGTCTCTGTGGTCTTCCTTTGTTCTTTTGTCCAATATGTCCACTGCCCCATCAAACCATGTTCAACCTCGGCCTCGCCTCTCTACCTTTGTCTCCACTTGATGAAAATCTGAACATCTTCATGTCTTTATTGTATTGGTGCCACTGCCTCCAAACCAAATATTTGAGCAGGACTCACCATCTTGTAAACCTTCCCTTTCTTAAAGCTCTCCTTGTGTCACAAATCCTCTCTGACACTCATCTCCATCCACTCCTTCTGCCTGTTCTCTTCTTCTCCTCTCTTGTATTTTGCCTGTTCCTTTGGAGGGTTGATCCTAAACTCACCCACCTTCAGTGCTCCTTGCAGCGTCACTGCTCCACCTCTGTCCCAATCCTTCACACACATAGACCCTGTCTTGGTTTTACTCACGTTCCTCTTAGCCCCAGAGCCTCCACCTCTTCAGGCTCTCAAACCTGCTCCCTACTCTCACTACAGATCACAGTGTCATCTGCAAACACCTGATGAAGTCGCCTCTCTGACCCCATACAGCAATGTTTCCATCACCATTGCAAACAAGAACGGGCTCAGAGATTCAAAGTCAGGTAACTGTGAACTGGTCAATTTCAGCCAAGGAACAAATATCTGCAGGTCCTCTAGTAGCAACAAGTATTAGTATTAGTAGTAGTATTGTATAATGTAATGATTGTTCCATATTCCATCTATTGTAATGAAGTTTGGGGAGAAGCATGCAAAACAATTACAAATCCTATTTTTATTTTACAAAAAAGAGCTATAAGAATTAGTAGGAAGTGCTATGGTCACCCACTCTTCATCAATTGAAATTATTAAAATGTTATGATTTAGTTGAATATAGTATTTTACAAGTGATGTATAAAGCTCAAAAATATTCCCCCCAAATATTCAATTAAAATTTGTT